AAGCAATGTCTACTGCACCACCCTGATCTATAATTTTTAGTTACCCAATCAAAAAAATCAATAAGATTAGTTTGGCATGATCTCCCTGAAGTAAACCCATGTTGTCTCTGATCTTGAAATCCATGTGTTTTAGATGTTCATCAATCCTATCCTTTAACATGGTTTCCATCACTTTCCCCACTACTGAAGTAAGGCTTACTGGCCTATAGTTGCCGACTCCTCCCTATTACCTTTCTTGTGAATGGGCACAACATTCGCTAACTTCCAATCTTCTGGGACTACTCCTGTTAACAATGATTGGTTAAATAAATCTGTTAATGGTTTTGCTAGTACACCACCAAGCTCTTTTAATAGCTTTGGGTGTATTCCATCAGGTCCCATTGACTTATTTGTCTTTACTTTTGACAGTTGAAATAGAACCTCTTCCTCTGTAAACTCACGTGTAATAAATGACTCATTTATCCTTTTCCTCAACTGAGGTCCCTTTCCTTCATTTTCATCTGTAAATACAGAACAAAAATATTCATTGAGGCAGTCAGCTAGACCTTTATCCTCTTCTACATACCTTCCTTCTTTTGTTTTTAATCTAACTAATCCTTGTTTTAATTTTCTTTTCTCATTTATGTATCTAAAAAATGTTTTGTCCCCCTTTTTTACTGACTGTGCATGATTTGGAAGCTCTTATAACTTGCTTAGCCTCTTTCTGCCTAATCTTATAGATCATTTTGTCTTCCTCATTCTGTTTTTTTTTATAATTCCTAAATGCTAACTTTTTGTTTTTAACTATTTTGGCCACATCTGCGGAGTACCACAGTGGTTTCTTGAATTTTTTGCTTTTACTGACAAGCCTAATGCAATTTTCTGTTGCCTTCAATAGTGCAACTTTTAAATAATCCCATTTCTCTTGGACTCCATTTAAATTGCTCCAGTCTGATAATGACTCCTCTACCCATATTCTAATTTTAGAAAAGTCTGTTTTTCTAAAGTCTAAAACTTTTGTTTTTGTGTGGTGTGACTCAGTCACTGTTCTTATATTAAACCACACTGACTGATGATCACTGGATCCTAAACTTTCACCTACAGTAATATCTGATACCAAATCTCCATTTGTTAACACTAAATCTAGTATGGCCTCTTTACGAGTTGGCTCCTCAACAACTTGTTTTAGAGACAATCCCAGTAGGGAGTTTAGAATATGTGTGCTCCTGGCACAAGTAGCTAATTTTGTTTTCCAATTTACATCAGGAAGATTAAAGTCACCCATGATGATAACTTCCCCCTTCATTGTCATTTTAGCTATTTCCTCAACTAGTAGATTATCTAACTCTTCAATTTGTCCTGGGGGCCTATAAATCACACCTACACGAGTTACTGTGTGATTACCAAATTCTAACGTAGCCCAAACGGACTCTATGTTTGCCTCACTAACTTTTATTAGGCTAGATTTTATGCTATCCTTCACATACAAGGCCACCCCTCCCCCTTTCTTGCCTTCCCTATCTTTCCTATATAAAGAGTACCCTGGTATTGCTATGTCCCAGTCATTTTTCTCATTGTACCATGTCTCAGTAACAGCGACTAAATCTACACTATCAGTTGCCATTATTGCCACAAGTTCATGGATCTTATTCCCTAAACTGCGAGCATTTGTAGACATGACTCTAAGCTTATCATTTTTTAACACACTTGCTACAGGCACCTTCTGTCCTTGTTTAATGGTTGTATATATAAATTTATATTGATTTTTCACAGTGGGATTTGTTTCCTTATGAACGGATATATAATTTTTGTGGTTTATACTTAGAAGTTACAAGCTACTTCAATCCTCAGCAGGGGTGAATTTCTAGTTGACAGGGTCACATTTTCCCTTGCCAGTGGGGTATTCACCATGGAAACAGCAAGCACACAGTCTTCTGCACTTAAACGGTCACTTCAGATGCTTAAAATAATTTCAGCTTGCTTACGTGCTTTATATGTGAAGATAGTGTCATCTTTTTCCCAGAATTGCAGAAATTGTCACTATGCTAAATAAAACACACACACACTAAAGTGTTCCTTTAAAGTACTGATAGGCTTGCACATAGGGATTTAGGGGTAGTAATTTCAGATGACTTAAAGGTAGGCAGTGTAATCAAGCAACAGGAAATGCTTGCAGCATGCTTGGTTGTATAGTGAGAGGTATTAACAGTAGAAAGAGGGAAGTATTCATGCCATTGTACAGAACATCGGCAAGACCTCACGTATTGTACGCAGTACTGGAAACCGTATCTTTAGAGAAAGTTCAGAAGTGGTCTACTAAATTGGTTCATGGATTACAGGATGAAACTTACCAGGAAAGTTAAACGATCTTAACATGTATAAAAAAAATAAAAAGGGCTGATATAAAGTCTCTCTTGTTGCATTTTAACCCCTTAAGGACCAAACTTCTGGAATAAAAGGGAATCATGACATGTCACACGTCATGTGTCCTTAAGGGGTTAAAATTTCCCTTATAGGGTTGCTGCCCCAGTTGTTATTTAGCGCTTACTCTTTTTCCCTGTCTTAACATGTATAGCCTGGAGGAGAGACGGGACAGGGTGATATGATAGAAACATTGAAATAAAAAGGAGGAGACTATGTACCTACAGCTGGAAGGAAAAGGCCTTATGCATGTCTAAGTTTCTGCAAGGTAGACTATGGAGGAAACCGTCTACCCTTAATACTGGACACTATAATTGTATTGAATTTAACCACTTGCATATTTTTAAACTATGTATATCTAACCCCCATTCCTTTGTCATATCTCAACTGGACATACATGTATATACATACACACACACACACACACACACACACTCTGCAGTTTGTCTTGTCCTGCATGCTAAAGCTAGTTGCTCCCTGCCCTGCTCATCATTGGTTTTGTTAACTTAAATGTTATTCAACATCCTGCTTATCTCAAGACTTTCTCTGTTATTTCTTCTCCCCCCCCCCTTATTTTATTGATACCCACCCAAATGTCTTGCTTGACCAATCCTCACCTCCTCTGTGCATCTCCATTCCATAGCTTTTATTGCAGTCCTGTTTTGACCCTATCATCTCTGTCTTCCACAGTCTGAGTTTTAAAAGACCACTTCTAGCAAACCTGAACAGTGCTCAGACCAGTTACCGCCAAAAATGTTCCAGAACTGCTGAACGCTGCTGGAGAAAGTCTCACTTTGCAGCTGACTTTGTCCACTATAAATATTTGCTGCGCTCCTACAGCATGGCTCTTTCCTCTGCAAAAAGTAAGCTACTTCAACACCCTCATAAGCACACTGTCCCACCAATCCAAACACCTGTTTCACACTTTTGATGCTCTTCTTCGCCCTGTGACACCCCCCTCCTTCCACCACAAACTTTGCATCTCATTTCACTGAGAAGATCTCTATAATCAGGAACGATATCTCTAATCTTTCTCCAACCAGTATCAATACATCACCCAACCCCACTCCCCCTGCCATCCTAAGCTAATTTCTGCTCTGCTACTGTCCTCCCGCCCCACCACCTGATCCCTCGATCCTATTCCCTCGCATCTCATCCGCACTTTGTCTCCCTCTCTTGCTCTTCCACTCGCTAACAATTTTCAATCTCTCCCTTTCCTCTGGCACATTTCCCTCTGCCTTCAAACATGCAACCTTAACCCCAATTCTGAAAAAGCCCAACCTTGATCCCAACTCCCCATCCAACTACCACCCTATCTCGCTACTGCCATTTGCCTCCAAGATCCTCGAGAGAGTTGTCTACGCCAGATTGACAGACTTTCTTGAATCCAACTCTCTGCTTGACCCCCTTCAGTCTGGATTCGGCGCTGGTCACTGTCGAAACTGCTGTGACCAAAGTATCCAACGATTTAATTGCTGCTAAATCTCACGGCCAATACTCTATCCTAATCCTCCTTGAGCTTTCTGCCGCATTTGACACTGTTGATCATCAACAGCTTCTTCACATTCTCCGTAACTTTGGTCTATGGCAGGGGTTCTCAACGTTAGTCCTCAGGACCCCCTACCAGTCCAGGGATTACCTGGGTGTGTCTAAGGTGTTTAGAAAAAGAAGAAAAAAAAAAAAAAAAACCACACCTTAGAGTCTAAGGTGTTTTTTCCCCTTTTTCTAAACACCTGAGACACGCCCAGGTAATCCCCAAATCCTGGACTGGTAGGGGGTCCTGAGGACTGGGTTGAGAACCCCTGGTCTACGGGATACTGCACTCTCCTGGTGCTCCTCCTACCTCTCCCAGCGCTCTTTCAGTGTTTCTTTCTCTGGCTCTGCCTCTTCTCCCCAACCCCTCCCTGTCTGCGTCCCCCAAGGTTCTGTCCTCGGCCCCCTACTGTTCTCTATCTATACTGCCTCCCTTGGTAAACTCATCAGCTCCTTTGGCGTCCAATACCATTTACATGCAGATGACACGCAAATCTACCTGTCCTCCCCTGATCTCTCTCCGCCCACCTTGACTCGTGTTTCTGACTGCCTCTCTGCTATTTCCAACTGGATGGCTGCTCACTTCCTTAAACTCAACCTGTCCAAAACAGAACTTCTAGTTTTTCCTCCCTCAAGTGCTGCTACTCCTGTGTGTCTCCATCCAAGTCAACGGCGCTACTATCACCTCTACCTCACAGGCTCGCTGCCTAGGGGTTCTTTTTGATTCTGATCTCTCTTTTACTCCCCATGTCCAATCGATAGCCAAATCCTGTCACTTCCAACTCAAGAACATAGCGCGCATCCGCCCATATCTAACGCCGGACGTGGCTAAGCTACTGGTTCATGCTGATGTTCTCTCTCGCCTTAACTACTGCAATCCCCTTCTCACCGGTCTTACATGTTCCCAGCTTGCACCGCTGCAATCTATAATGAATGCGGCTGCGAGGCTTATTTTCCTGTCCGGTTGCACCTCCCACGACCTCCAGGCTCTGTCAGTCCCTGCATTGGCTTCCAGTTCGATATAGGGCCCAATTCAAAATTCTGGCGCTTGCTTATAAATCCCTACATAATGCTGCTCCAACATACCTATCCTCCCTCATACACAAGTATGTCCCGTCGAGACCCCTGCACTCAGCCCAAGACCTACGCCTATCCTCTGCCCGGATCCCCACCTCTGATGCTCGCCTTCAAGACTTCTCCAGGGCTGCACCTATTCTGTGGAACTCCCTTCCCTCCTCAATCAGACTTTCACCCAGCCTCCACTCCTTCAAAAAAATCTTTGAAAACTCACTTCTTCATTAAAGCGTATCAATTAAACTGTCAGCAGGTTTCTCATCCCCCACCCCATGACTCCGTTCCTACACCTGTCAAAAATGACCTACCAAGCACTCAATAAACCTTTCGGTAACAAACTATTTAATTCCCCTACTTTAACCCCTTTGTGTCACTATACCCCACTCCCTCTAGCATGTAAGCTCATCGAGCAGGGTCCTCAACCCCTTCTGTTCCTGTACGTCAGTGGTCTGATCTCAATTATGTGTCTGTTAGTCCACCCATTGTTCAGCGCTACGGAATTTGTTGGCGCTATCTAAATAATAAAATAATAATATAATAAAAGAAGAAAATCGGCAACAACAAAAGGACATAGTCTTTAGAGGGGCAAAGGTTTGAAAATAATTTCAGGAAGGATTACTTTACAGAGAGGGTAGTGGATGATTAAGTGGTAGAGGTTAACACAGTGAAGAGGTTTAAGCATGCGTGGGATAGGCATAAGGCTATCCTAGCTAGAAGATAAGACCAGGGACGAATGAGTGTATTTAGAAAATTTGGTAGACTAGATTAGCCAAATGGTTCTTTCCTGCTGACACACTCTGTTTCTATGTCACAAATTCAAAGTGTGTATTCCTGACAGCACAGTAGTTGTTCCAGTGACGTGTGTGTGTGTGTATATATATTATAGCGCTAGGGAATTTGATGGCGCTATATAAATAATAATATAGTGTCCCTTTAAGTTGTTAAGATGCTTGGAGAGGTGTCAGTTCTTGCCTACTGCAGCGCTTTAAAGAGGAATGTCACTTCCTTGATTCAAGCATAACAAAATAATGATTAGCCATTATTTTTAATTACACAGATTCTTTAAAAAAAAATTATGTACGCATTTTGCCAAACTGCAAATGTTAAGAGAACAGCTAGAAAAATCTTGAGCGAAGATTTCTTCTCCCCCATGACACCATACAGCTAAAAGTATCACCCATGATAGCCCAAATAATTTAGTGATAAGTAAATGTAATGAACAAAGTATGGAGAAACTATTTATCAATACCATGAATATACACCGGGGTGCTATTCATCACCGGTATCCCCTCTAATACCAAAACAAACAATACGATTCAAAAGAGAATGCACACCAGAAACCAAAAGAAAATCTCTATCGTGGTTTAATTGTTGTAATGTTGGTTTAATAAACCAAGATAGAGATATTTTCTGTTTCTGGTGTGCATTCGCTTCTGAATCTATTAGTGATAAGGAAATGTAACCTGGTGTTGGCATGGGGCTCTGTACAAATGTCACCTTTCAAGAATCACAGACTGATCTCTCACCTGCAAGAGGGTTAGTAAATAGGAGCAGCCCACCGGTGGCATCACAACCCTTCTAAACATTTAAAAATCGATTCATTTGTAATTAAACACACAGAGCTGTTGAAACACTGACGTCCAGGTGCTGCCAGGTGTCACCATTAATCCAGCATTGTGGATGGAGATCCATCTAATAACAACCTTACCTGAGAGTGTGGGGGGGAATCAGAATATACTCATCACGGGGAAACTGTGCTCTCAATCATACTCATACCTTCTTGACCTCGAAACGCTTCTTTCCAACGCTATTGTTTGTTCCACTCGGTGCATCCACATCCATAGCGGCAGCCATTTTGTAAAGGAGCCGCTATTGCTTTTCAATACGCATGCTCGTGGTGACGCAACGCCAGCTGTCACGTGTTGTACGAGGGCGGAATAGAACGATCAGCGTGTTCCCTTCTTCCTGCATTCCTCGCACGCTGCTGTGTTCAATGCTGGAAGAATCATTGCGTGTTAGACATGCTGTGTTTACCTGCCAAAGCCAGCAGCTTTAACTTTATATTTCTCCAGGATACCATTTCAGAGGAACAGGGCAGCGATATGTAATTCACGTTGTTCAGATATTGCCCCCCGTATAATTTTACATTCTTTGGACTTAAGGTTATATATAAAGATCGCCTTCTTTTTTAGGCATTAGGGTACAATGTAAAGGGAAACAGTGAGGTTAAATGTCATAATACACATATACAAACTATCAACAAAATTAAATGTTAATCCAAAGCAACAGATTGGATCAACTGTTTTATGTACTTGTTTTTTTTTTTTTTTTTTTGTGTCATTAATATAGTTTGATTCTCATCCTCCGAGAAAGTCACTGCTAAGTGACAAAACATGTAAGGTTGAGGTGACTGAAACCACAGGTCAGTTGGATACTGGTGATATATTACATATTTTATTATAATAAAAAATATTGTATTATATATTTTTACAATATCAGAGCATTCTATTCTCTCTCTCTTTCTCCCCCCCCCCCCATGGCTAAGATATTGGAAGGGCTTTACACACTACAGTGACACCTAGGAATCACTGCTTAAAGGGACTCTATAGTCACTTGAACAACTACAGTTTAAAGGGACACTCCAGGCACCCAGACCACTTCTGCCCATTGGAGTGGTCTGGGTGCCCACTCTCACTACCCTTAACCCTGCAAGTGTAATTATTGCAGTTATCATAAACTGCAATATTTACCTTGCAGGGTTAAGTCCTCCTCTAGTGACTGTCTACTAGACAACCACTAGAGGAGACTTCCGTGTTCATAGAACATGAAAAGTGGTTTAAAACCACCATAGGCGTGCGCAGCCTATTGCATTAGGGTGTGCACCCTAAAGCACAAGCACACGCCGCATATATATATATATATGTATGTATGTATGTATATGTTGTAGAAATAAGGTCTGCACATATTTCCTAGATAGTGAAAATGTCTATTTACTCATTCCACGATATACAATATAAGCTATGCACAGATGTTTTAATCAAGATGGCTGCTAGAAGCTTCTAACCCCTCCTTCCCCTCCCCTTAACACCGACTAACTACCTCGTGCAGCAAGATGGCGCCGGGAAACCGTGGGAGACCCTCATGGCCCTGGTGACATCACCCTCAGTAGGCAGAGCATTAGAGCGACCACTTAACACCTAACCAATAATTGATGTATTATTCCATGTTATCTCTGACAATGCTTATGATGTAATTTTGCTTTAAAAGGGACCTGCCGTCCCCTCTGAATAAACATTCCTCAAGTTATTCAACAACCTGGAACTTGTGTCTGGTGTGAATTACTTCAGGGAGCGTGCACGCATTGTTTCATTGATTTGGCCAGGGGCAGATACACAAATAAATAATCAATACCTTGATTGATTTTTCCATTTCAATTGGTGCCCAACGTGGGGCCACCGTAGGGCCGGTTCGGAGGGCCGGAGCGGACCTTCGGAAAGTGGGACAAGCGGAGCCTGATCACCTCCATAATACAGCCGTTGCCTGTGTTATTCTCCTGTTTTGTGTCGGTCTGTCTCCGAGTCCACTTCCGGCTTCCAGAAGGCTACTAGAGACAGGTAATTAACTCATCCGGTGTGCCTTTTTAAACGAACCTGCCGATTGTCTATCTGCCTCCTGTACTTGTTTGAAAGTGTGTGACGGCCGGTGCATGTGTTTTCCCTTTTTAAGACAATAGCTTGACTGCCTAGCGGGCAGGGTACGCATTACAGCCGGTGGGGCTGGGATTTTAGCTTGACTGTCTAGCGCACAGGGTACGCATTACAGCCGGTGGGGCTGGGATTTTAGCTTGACTGCCTAGCGGGCAGGGTACGCATTACAGCCGGTGGGGCTGGGATTTTAGCTTGACTGCCTAGCGGGCAGGGTACGCATTACAGCCGGTGGGGCTGGGATTTTAGCTTGACTGTCTAGCGGGCAGGGTATGCATTACAGCCGGTGGGGCTGGGTTTTTAGCTTGACTGCCTAGCGGGCAGGGTACGCATTACAGCCGGTGGGGCTGGGATTTTAGCTTGACTGCCTAGCGGGCAGGGTACGCATTACAGCCGGTGGGGCTGGGATTTTAGCTTGACTGCCTAGCGGGCAGGGTAAGCATTAGAGCCGGTGGGGCTGGGATTTTGTTTGATTACTGCTGAGTTTCATTGGTACTTGTGTTATAACGGGACCAGCCTGGTGGGGGAGGGCTGGGGATTGCTACATTTTAATTATTTGGTACTAGTGGTGTTAACATGTACATGGCCATTTTACTCTCTGTCATTCTGTGGTTTTTGTTCAACTGTTGTTACAGTGTGGGTACCCTTGGTGTGTGTGTGTGTGTAGTGTGGCTAGTTCTGGATTCTGGGGCTTACACTCATCTCTATGTTTGTGATTTTTGCAAATGTCTTCTCGTTAGTGTAGCCACGTTCATCTTTTCCTTTGTCCTTTATCTCTCCTGTGTTTGTTGCCCAGAGCTGTGTTAGTCACCCACGCTCGCTCACTCCGGTCCGTGACTACCACCCCGGGTGGGCGGACCCCCGTGACTAGTCTACGTTTTGGGAAGACGCACGGGACTCAAGTCCTCGTGGCAGTCGAGCACTGTAGACATTCCTCTTTCTTCTCCCCTGTATCTCCTCTGTATATCTGTCCCTAACACGTGGCTCACTCCGATCATTCAAGATGGGGCAGGAACAAGCTAGACCTGCTAAGGGCTTGTTGGCTTGTGACATTGTGAAAGAAAGGGCGGGGGAAGATGCAATGTTAAAGATTAAAAAGATTGCTAAGGTGTGTGGTTTCCAGATGCCGCCTAGTGGGAGATTGCAACCTGAGTTTTGGAAGAAGTTACTCATAGATAAGGAAGGATTGTTGTTGGATAATGGGCTCACAAAGGTTGTAGAGGCTTGGTATCGAGTAGCTAGAGGTCTAAAACGGGAAGGGTGGATCGAGGAAGAGTTAGACTTCGAAGGACAAACTGTATATGTATACCATAGGAGTGTTAACAATGATGATGTTGTTTCCACTGTCCCGCGGCCACCGCCCTATGATGGCGCCCAGAGCATGACAGTAAATTCCCGCCCAGCTTCCCCCGTCACTGCTCAGACTCCACCCCCGGGGGTGTGTCTCCAGCCCCCACCCCCTTGTGCCCCGTACTCGGTGCAGATGGCGCTTATTACTATCCAGTGCCACTCCATTCGTTCCCACCCACTCCTATGCACCAACCTCCTTCTGACCCAGCCCCCCCCAACAGCCCTACCCCGTTACGTCTGTCGACATTCCCCCGCCTCCCTGTCCCCCGCCACCTCTACCTATGCCTGCCTCCGCTCCAAATCCTCGCCCAGATCCCGTCCTGACAGCTCCTACCCCACCCATCGAAGTTTCCTCCTCCTCCACCTCCTCCTCCTCTCATTCCCTCTCCACCTCGATTACCCCTTCCCTAGTGACACCCGCTCCCTCGCCTCCACCGACTGTCTCACACTCTGCCCTCTCGACCCTTATCCATCCTCCCGCAACACTCCCAGGCACCCCTCCCATCCTCCAGGTTGATCCGCCCGCTATCCCCACATCGTTACCACTTCCCGATGTACCCGCCCCTACTACGTCTACCTCGTTGTCTCCTCCCCTCCCGGCTGATTTGCCGTCCCTACTCTCTGCCCTTACTGCTATAACCCAGCCCCCTGTTCCCACCCCTCCGACCCCTTCTCCAGTGCTACCACTTCCTGATGTACCCACACCTACTACGTCTACCTCGTTGTCTCCTCCCCTCCCGGCTGATTTGCCGTCCCTACTCTCTGCCCTCACTGCTGCGACCCAACCCCCTGTTCCCACCCTTCCGACCCCTCCCCCAGTGACTCCTGAACCAACCACCGCCAATGACCTGTCCACCTCCATATCCGCCCTCTTCTCCGCCGTTACCTCCTTGGTTAATTCCGCCATCCCTACTCCACCTCCCGCTGATTTACCTCCTCCCCCTCCACCTCCTCCTCCTGATCTCCCAACCCCTTCCCCGCCTCCCGTTACCCACCCCGAACCTTCGATCCAATCTCTGCTCTTGCTCATGTCCTTAATACCCACCTCTCACGCCCACCCCAGACGGCCCCCACAGCCACCCCATCCATGGCATTGGTCCCTCATGTTTCCCCTGCCAGCCCCAGTTGCCCAATCATGGTGGTTGGGTCCGAAGTGTCAGTGACGTCGGACCAACCCTATGCGGTGGGCATTTCTCCCCAGGCCTCGGGCTTCCACCCAACTACCTCTCCCATCACCGGTCTCCCTGCCGCTCCAGCCACGGCTACCCCTGAGACTACTCCTCTCCGCGGACCAGCAGCACCCGAGGAGATTGATGTGGTAGAACAGGATTCACCTCGCCCAGGGGGGAACAGGCTCCCCCAACGGCATTCTATCCCCCACAGTTATACCCAGGTCAACCATGGAGCGGATGGTGCACCGCCCATGTATGTCACATTCAACCCTTCCCAAGCCGCTACCCTTGTAACCTCACTCCCCGATCCTGAAAAACACCGCATGCCCTTCTTCCGCAGGATGGCTCAGATTCGAAAAACATACTCCGCTGAATGGCGGGATCTTATAAGTTTGTGCGAAATTAAGGCTGGGGATGCATACTGGCCAATCATGGCAAGGAGTTTTAATGATGCTCCACTCACTTCTGATACAGATTTTCGTTCTGGTGAAATCTTCTGTGAACAGCTCCGAGCTTGGGCACATGATAAACTAGCAGATCAGGCTACTTGCATTAATGATATTATACAGGATAAACTTGAGACTGTTGAGAAATATCACTCTAGACTAACTCAGACCTTCTCAGACTTAGGGTTCAGTACCTATAACAAAGCACACACCCAGATGTTATCCGCAGCCTTCGTGGCAGGTCTTAAGGAACACATTCGTAAGGGGTTAATTTTATCTCGCCCAGAGTACAGGATTATTCCACTTGATACACTCCTACTGGTAGCCAAGGGTTTAGAATCTGTTTTGCAGCCCACACAACGGAGAGCTAGCCCACTGATGTTTACTACATCCACACCAATTACTGGTTCTACCCATGTTCCCAAGATACTCTCTCAACAATACACTCAGCTGCCCCAAACACTCCCTGCATCAGTTCCCTCTCCCCGGGACCGGACCCTCACGACAATCCGGACCTGTTTTAACTGTAATCAGCCCGGCCACTTCAGAAGAGATTGCCCTCTCCCCAGAGTAATCCGCCCACAAATTCCCAGGTACCCTAGTCCACATGTCACCAGCTTTGGCTTCCCCTCCACTGGTTACCTCCCTGCCCTGCCTCATCCACAGTTGCCTCAGCTTCCTCCTCCTCCTCCTCCTCCTCCTGAATATACCCAGGTCCGGCTCCCTGCTTCAGAAGCCCGTGCATACCCTTCGGCTTCCGCTGATGGGTTTGACACAGATGATTTCTAAGAAAGTCAGCCACTACCTCGCCACAACCGTCCGGCCCGTGCTCCCATGCAGTCTAGTAACCCTCCCACCACTTCCCGCCGGTACCAGGGACCAGATCAGGCCCATTTAGATTTACTGCAATAGGTAACCGGCAAGCCTGTGTCAGCAACCCCTGCCATGGCAGTGTCTGCGGGGGAGGGCCCTTAGCTACTGTAGTTCTCCCCATAGAGGGTCATCCAACTACCTTTCTAGTTGACACAGGTGCAGCCCGTAGCGTTCTTAGGGAACAAGACCTGCCAGACCCCTCCTTCTTGTCTGACACCGATGTCTCCTGTGTTGGGGTGGATGGTACACCCCGCAGTAGCCCCCTTACTAAACTTCTGCATGTAGGTTCACACATACTCTCCCGTTTTGTTGTTTCTTCTATTTGTCCCATTAACCTCTTGGGTGCTGATGTTCTCTCTCGGCTCCAGGCTTCTATTACTTTCACTGCTGATGGTCAGGTCCAATTAACTACACCCTTATCACAGAACGACACCTCTGTCCTCTGCTCTCTCCCAATATTGTTAAACCTCACCACCACCACAGGGATTTCAAGGGTCCAACAAACCCCCAGTGCTCTGGACCGCATCCCACAAAAGCTTTGGTCCACCGGCCCAGATGACATCGGACGTCTACAAGTGCCCCCCGTTGTGGTCAAACTCCTGCCGGGAGCTCTGCCCCCCCGTAGGCCACAGTATCCTCTGAAACCTGCACAAGCTGATGCTATCACCAAACAGGTCGAAAGCCTACTCGCCAAAGGTGCCCTCATTAAGTATGTGTCTCCATGTAACACTCCACTTTTCCCTGTCAAAAAGAGAACTGCTAAAGGACCTTCGTGCTGTCAATGAAGTGACTGTCAAAGATACTGCCATTGTTCCTAATCCACACACTCTCCTATCTCAGGTACCACCTACTGCCACAGTTTTCACTGTAGTGGATCTAGCTAATGCATTTTTCAGTGTGCTACTAGACCCCACGAAGGCCAACAATACACCTGGACTGTCATGCCTCAGGGGGCCCAGAATTCCCCCACTCAGTTTGCCCGTGCCATGTCTTTGGTATTAGAACCCTGGCAGAAAACTCACTCTGATGTAGTTCTTCTTCAGTATGTCGATGATCTCCTTCTCTGTGCTCCAGACCTTCACATTGCAGAGCGTGACTCAGAGGACCTCCTGTGTTTCCTCGCTGAAGCTGGTTGCAAAGTTTCCAAATCCAAGCTGCAATGGTGCCGGCCCTCTGTGGTCTTCTTGGGACATTGTCTTTCCCATGGCACCAGACATCTAACTTCACAACGTGTACAGGCTATCTTGCAACTCCCACTACCGGCAGCACACCAGACTCTTCATTCTTTTCTGGGTCTCATCACTTACTGCAGGTCCTGCATACCCAAAGCCTCAAAGCTCATGCAGCCACTCTATGACACCCTCAGGAGTGAGCCTTTCCATCTCACTGAAGATGCTATTGCCTGCTTTCACAGTCTGAAAAGAGCCATTGCTTCAGCACCTGCCTTGGGCCTTCCCAACTACCAGTTGCCTTTCAATTTGTTTGTCTCTGAAAAGTCAGGACATGCTTCCGGAGTCCTTACCCAGAAACATGGCTCAAGACAGCGGCCTATTGGCTATTTTTCCTGCATGCTTGACCCTGTTGCTAGGGGTAGCCCCTCCTGCCTCAGAGCGGTGTTTGCTGCCAGTGCCCTCTTGGACAAGACTAATGATTTTGTTCTTGGTCACCACCTCACGGTGTTGGCCCCTCATGACATTACTGCAATCCTGCAACAAGTTCAACCTAAGCACCTTCTTCTCAACGTCACCTTCGTCTACAAACATCCTTACTGTTACCTGACAATGTGAAACTTCAGCGATGTCTCTCCCTGAACCCGGCCACTCTTCTGCCACTTCCCAAGGGGGGAATTGTGCAGTATTGGTATAGCTTGGACATCAGCCCAGAGGCTCAGGCAGATTTGCAGCTGCCTGCCCTTGCACCCCCACATGATGAACAATCAGAGACTTAAGGACAGTCCAGACCCTGATATGAACTATGAGGAAGAACTGTTCCAACGCAAGGAAATTCAAATTACTCTGACTGACTTGTTATGGGATTCCACAGGAACTATGCTCATCTTAGTACATCTCCCAGAAAATGTGGCACATCTTTATCATCATTGGGAGACAGCTGTCCCACACATATCTCTCACTAAATCCCCTGACATTTCATGGAACGACCTAGGCCCGAAGGCCAAGACCTGGAGTCAAACAAACCATGAGCGGCTGACCTCTATGGGGGTCAGCAAAAAGACTATTAACTACTGTACAGCAGGGTGTCCTAGGTATCACACAGAAGTCTGTGAAGACCCACTCATCATAGACTGTGACCCTGACATTCCCCATGATTGTTTTGAACAAATGAAAATGGAAACTACGCACTTACCAACTGTGTATGAAGCTGCGTTACTTAACCCAGACCAAACACTGTTTGTGGACGGCTCAAGATTCGCTGATGAACAGGGACAATATCACACTGGGTATGCAGTCACCATCGGATGTCAAGTATTACAAGCAGCTGCCCTTCAACCAACCAAGTCAGCCCAAGAAGCCGAACTAACAGCCTTGACTGTGGCCTGCAAATTGTCCGAAGGCCTACGTGTTAATATCTATACAGATTCAAGATATGCCCTGGGAGTGGCACATGATTTTGGAAAACAAGAGGATTTCTTACAGCTACCGGTACCCCAGTGAAACACGGGGCAGCCATTGCAGGACTGATGGATGCTTTAGAACTTCCAGCGGAGGTGGCGGTATTAAAGGTAAAAGCCCACGGAAGACTAGACACAGAAGAAGCAAGAGGCAACCACTTAGCTGATCAGGCAGCTAAGGAAGCAGCACGACAAGGATGGGAAGTGGACAGAAGAGTGGCCACAGATACAGTACCCATCTACACTATGCAGACATTGCCTACAGATCTTAGGCTTCTGAAGGAACAACAAGCTGTTGCTACTCCCCAGGAGAAACAAAGTTGGAAGAACAAAGGAGCTGTACTCCATGATGATGTTTACACTATCAATCTCAAGTTTTGCCTACCCGGAAATATGTACCCAGCGGTGGTCCAATGGGCCCATGGGCCAGCCCACCTGTCAAAACATCTGATGAACTCATTGATAGACAAGTATTTTGAAGCACCAGGCATCACTACCTTAACACAGAATTACTGTAAGTCTTGTACTACATGTGCTAAGGGCAATCCTGGAAAGATTATCAAGACCGCACCTAATCACCTAGCCAAGCCACAATACCCCTTTCAGAGGATCCAGATTGACCATATTCAAATGCCAAAGAGTGGACGTTACGAATATGCACTGGTCATAGTGGACATGTTTTCAGGATGGCCAGAGGCCTTCCCAGTGACTAATCTCACCGCGAGGACTACAGCCAAGTACCTTTTGACGGAAATTGTTTGCCGATATGGAGTTCCAGAAGTGATTGAAAGTGACCAAGGGACCTCCTTCACTGCCTCGTTAACACGGGAAGTCTGGTCAGCACTGGGGGTGACCCTTGCATTCCACACACCATATCACCCACAGAGTAGTGGTAAGGTAGAGCGCATGAATGGCACTTTGAAAGCCAGAATGCTCAAAATGTCACAAGAAACTAACATGCCCTGGCCCGAGAGTCTCCCATTAGCGTTGTTTAGCGTGAGGTACACTCCTAGTGGAAAATATAGCCTATCACCTTAGGAGATTTTATTTGGTACAGCACCCAGACTAGGTTGTTACTTCCCTCAACAACTTCAGATTCAGTCAGATGCTATGGTAGACTATGTGACTGCCCTCTCACATGCCTTGACCAAAATACATGCCCAAGTGTTTTCTTCTATTCCAGATCCTGAGTCGAATACAGGTACACACAAGCTGCTCCCTGGTGATTGGGTTATGGTCAAGAAGTTTCTCAGGAAACACACCCTAGAACCGAGATTTGATGGCCCTTATCAAGTGTTCCTGATCACAGCAACGTCAGTTAAGCTAGCCGGAAAGAGTTCTTGGATACACGCCTCGCATTGCAAGAAAGTGCCTACTCCAGAAGAGGCTACTCCTGCTGAATAATGAATTTGTTATGTGTCTTGTGTTTTCTTATGCTGCTACATTTTGCCTGGGCCCAACAAGTGGCCATAACCAAAGATAATCATGTTTACACTTTCTGGTACAATTCTTCTAGCACAGATGTAGCTACATATACCTTTGACTACTGTGACATAGTTACATGCACCTTTCCATAAGCACAATATGCAGCCATATACAAAGACATACCCAGCAAAAAGGATCCATACATTTGTGTAACTGGAGGAGTTTGGGGACACCAGTGTAGTTCATGGAAAGCTGCCGGGTGGAACACGGGTAGGCCATGGGGCTACAGACCCCAGAGTGCATTAGACAGAATTGACAAAGATGGGAAACCTTTACTCTCCAGAATGACCTTAAGCAAACCCATTGGGTCAACTCCCATTAAATTAACCTTGAATATAGAGCACCCCAGCCCAAAAGACGCAGGGGAATATGTAATGGGAATGTACTGGAAAGGAGGTGGCTCACATAATAAACTGGGGACATTCTATCTACAGGACATGCTCACCTCACCAGACTGGGTAGGAACCACTCACATGACTATTAACCCATTGAAACCACATATTAAGACTCTACATGACATGGTAGCTATAGCCAATCCCACCTTTGAAGACACTATGGCAGTAGAGACTGGGTTTTCAGACACTAATTTGTGGCTAGAATGGATGAGGTATAATGCCAACTCACACAATAAGACTAATTGCTATGTATGTGGAGGAGCCAGGCCCCACCTGGGTACGGTACCTTTAAATTTACCTCCCGAAGTAGAATTATGTGTCCTAAGCCTCTAAGCACAGTCCACCACAAATTCCTCAACATGTGAATCATGGAAAAAGGTTTACCCAATTACTCACGGATATGTCAAGCCACCTGATGGAGTCACCGTGTATCCAGGTAATTACACATGTTATGCTATACCCAAGAATACTGGTGTGTTCCTGGGCAAATTCCCATCTGGATATTGCTCAACCTACCATAGCCCACCTGTGTCACTGCTAATAAATCATGCAAAGACTATTGGAGATATCTATTGGTTATGTGGTG